CGATTCCAGCCAGAAGCCAGACACCTAGGAGAACCTGGGAGACGGGTCAGGGCGTGACACATCTGTGCTGTAAGCGCAGCTGTGGGGAGGTCCTGGGTCCCTGGCATGAGCCTGAACCCCCTGCGGGAAGCATGCCGGTCTAGGGGAGTCCCCTGATGCCAGGGCCTCTGCCCCTCGTTCAGTGAGGATGAGGGGGACAGACCACATGCAGCTGACCCCCAGGGCGTGGCAGGCTCCTGTCCCCAAGACAACCCTGGCCAGGCTGAGGGCAGGACAAAGCACCAGCCCCCAGACCTTCCTGGGCGCAGCAGGAGCTGCACCTCCTGCTCTGCCTACCGCCTGCTACAGCGCCATGTTCTCATTTCATGGCCGCAGTTTCTTACCTTTTCTTCGCTTTCCAGAGCAGGTTCCTTTTCAAACCTGCTTGGCCCTTTTGTACAAATTCCTGCTTTTATTTTCAGCCCTCTTTTATCTCTCGGACATATCATGCATACTGACCACTTCCACTGAAGCAGCGTCCACACATGATGTGAGCCTCCGGCGTACAACAGGCTCATCTGTTTATACACACCCTCGGAGGTCCCGGCCCTAAGGGCGGCCACCATCTGCCACCGCTCCAAGCTGTCACAGTGTTTCGGACTGTGTACCGAGTTGACGTTCTGTGAAACCTGACGTCCTCAGAGGCCAAGGTCTGATGTTTGCTGGGCATTTCCTGATCTTCTACCGGCAGCCCGTGGTTTCTTGGAACTTTATCTCCGGGGCCCCTTTAAGGTCTGGGTTGAAGCCACATTCATCACAAGGCCTCTGCCTGTCGTCTGCAACACTAATAACCTGGCTCTGGCAATGGAGCATGTGACTCTTGATTTCAGAGTCGTGGGTTCAAGCCCCATGTTAGGTGTGGAGATTACTTAAAAATAAAACCTTAGGGGCGCCTGGTGGCTCAGTCGTTAAGCATCTGCCTTTGGCTCAGGTCTTGATCCCAGGGTCCTGGGATCGACCCCCATGTCGGGCTCCCTGCTCAGCGGGAAGCCTGCTTCTCCCTCTCCCATTCTCCCTGCTTGTGTTCCCTCTCTCGCTGTGTCTCTGTCAAATAAAGAAATAAAATCTTTAAAAAATAAATAAAAATAAAATCTGAACCTCCTTTCATTTTCTGTAAATCATGAATGGGTGTTGAATTTTATCAGATCTGTTTCTTGGACCCATTGAGGTTATAATGCTGCTTCTCCTTTAATCCACGGTAAAGCACAGACTTTACCACCTCTCCTAACCCTGGCATTCTTCGGGAGTCCTACTTGGTCTCAGTGCAATGATTTGTTATTAATATTCTGATGCTTTTCCAGTGCTCATTTCCTGACCTCTCACTAGGTTACTAGGTCTGTGCTCATGGACAGGACTGGATGGCTACCCCGCTTCTTGTGTTTTCCTCCTCTGCCCGGCACCAGAGTTTACCACGTGCAGGAAGCAAGCTGAGTGCCCTTGCTTCCGCGTTGTCTCAGCTAGGGTGACGCCTGGCTCTCTGAACACTGTTTGTTCCTCCATGGGGGTGGGGGGCAGTGCAGAGGGAGGATGAGAGAGAGAATCTCAAGCAGCCTCCCCACTGAGCACAGGGCCCCGCATGGGGCTCGATCTCACGACCTGAGCCAAGATCACAAGTCAGACACTCAACCAACTGAGCAACCTAGGCGCCCCGATGTTCTGAAAATGTCTAATGATGTGTCTAGCTATATATGTTTTTAAAAAACTCTGGACATGGACTTCTTGGGAGTTTCACGTATTTCATGAATTCTGGAAAATCCCCAGTCTTCATTCCCTCCAATACTGCTCCTTCCCATTCTCGCTATTCTGTCTGAAATCCCCGCCAGGTGTGTGTTGGAATCTGCTTCATTTCTGGGCTTGCACATCTCTCGTCCAGCACCAACTCTCTCCTGAGTCTGGTTCTTATGCTGCCTCACCTGTTTGCTGACTTTGATTTTCACGACCGTGGTTTTCATTCCTAGAGGTTCTCTTTGGTTCTTTTTCAAACATGACTTGTCTGTTCACAGAATCTTGATATAATCTTAAAGCTATTTCCTTCTTACCCTGGAAAAGCTCTCTTATCCCGAAATCAACCTTTCAAAAGGTTTCTTAGTGAAGGAGTGCTTAAGTCTATTTTTAAATTCTAGTGCTGAGAGCCACCTGGCCAGGACTCTGGCTGTCCCAGTGTCTGGAGGCTTTCTCTGTGAGGAAAGCTGGCCTGAGCAAGGGCACTCCTGACCAGTTCCATTAGGGCTGGTACTTCCTCACTTGGGAAGTTGCCCCAGTTAAGGCTTCTTCACCAAACAGGGTGAAGAAATTGTGTCCAGTGATGGTAGAAAGGATAGACCAGGTTAGGCAACACTCTTCCACTTTGAATGCAAGTAACTTTCAAACTATAACTATGGTCCAGGTTTCCACTCAGATTTTGATTCCAAATTTGATGTGTATGCTGGGCTCCCGCATGTGACCTGAGCACTTCTCAGTATCAGAGCCGTTTAAAAGGAGACGACTTGTCTGCCCCAAGAGAACAAGGATCTGTAAGAAACAGCATCTACACTTGGACATCATCAGCTCTTTCCTACAAAAGTCCGGCATCTGTAGTCCTCAGATTGCTGCTTTGTTTCTCCTAAGTAAGCTATTTTGGAAAATAAGCAAAGTCTATCAGAAAGTTTCAAAGCTGCATATTGCCTAACTACAGAGACAACCTCCCTCTAATGTAACTTCTCTCCATCTCACCCCTTTCCGGGAGTCCTAGGGAATCACAGCCTGTCCTCCTAGCTACCGGAGACTGGGTTTACTTCTCTGGGATAAGTCTACTACACACCCCCCACCCTTGTTTGCCACCCAAGGCTAGGCAATGCGCCTCTAGGGGAGTGCTTTCCAGAAGGTGAAAAATTCAGTTTCCAGCTCTGATTCCACAAGACTAGGATCAAGTTTAAAACAATACCGTTAAGTAATAAAAGTGATTGAGGGACTCCAAATGTAGATCCTACAGGTTTGCACACAAGAGTATTTTGACTTGCCATTCTCCTCTCTGAATGTGAGAGAAACACATACAAAACCGTGAGGCGAGTACAACTACAACGACCTCTCTTCTAAACCCGCACAGAGATCCTCCTAATTAGTTTCTTCGTGTTGTGCATTACTGACTAAATAGGTCACCGCAGGGACCAAAAGCTCCCCTTAAAGTAGCAAAGGGAGGGGCAGGGAGGAGTCCAAAATCTTGTAGCAACGTATGAAAATACTTGAAAGGGAACAATTTAAAGGCCGAGAACAACATAAAAAGCTTTTAAAACGCTAGGAAAGGACAGCGAGAAGAAAAAACGTAAAAGAGGTCATGAGAACGGTTAGCGTCCAGGAGCTACATAGTTTGCATTATTTATAACAGGCCTGGAAACGTCCTGGGCTCTGGGGGCAGCTGAAAATAACTGCTCCCTCCCTCAGGGGAAGAAAAGTCTCCTACAGTAAGTAAGAGTCCTTCTGCCTTCTGGAGCTTTTTCCAAATATATCCCCTACAAACGCTCCTAAGACAAGGGAGGGGGTGGGGCAGGCATATGTGGCGCAGACGACATTCCCTTCACACCGAACAGGAAGCCTACGAGGAAAAACCCCAACGCTCACACCACCGGGGCCGGCTGGATCTCGGGGCTCCTGGGCAGGCTGTCACGTGGTTCTCCGACGGGGAGCCCCCCCACCCCCTCAAGCGTCACAGACCACGGAGCTCTCCCCACGTTATGTAAGAATCGCCGTTAGGCGAGGTTATCCGGGCCAATCAGGGCCCCGCGGAGCGCACCAGGAACCGCCTGGACGCACTGCACGGTGCAAACGAAGCGCACAGAATGCTCACCGCGCCTCTGCGCCTCGGGAGTGACCCCGCGGTCCGAGGGGAACGCCGCGGCCCGAGGCGCCCGCCCTCCACCCCCGGGGTCCTCCAGGACCTCGTCTCCGGCCCGGCATCAACTCCCGACCCCAAGTGTGGGCCTCTAGAGTACCCGCCACAGGTAAGGGCGCAGCAGATCTTCACCACAGACGAACAGGACCTGCCACAGCCACCTGCAGACCGCGAGGTCCCGGGGCGCGACGCGGCCCCCCGTGCTTCCGGGTCCGGGTCGCGACCTGGTCTCCGCCAAGTCCCAGTCGCCGAGCCCGGGCCTGCGGCCTCCGCGGGGCAGCGCCCTCCTCCGCTCGAGCCCTCGGACCCCACTTCCCACGTCCCCCTGGCAGGAAGCCCGCGCGCCGGCCTGCACTCACTGTTGTACTGCACGCCTTTGGCGAAGCGCCTCTGCAGCGCCTGGTTCATGGACTGCAGCCCGGCGGGGATATTCTTGTCGCGGCCCGGAGCCTGCTCCGACCCCACCAGCTTCTTGAGCGCGGAAAACATCTTCCCGCTCCCACGGTCGAGCCCGGCGCGGCCCGCGAGCTCAGCGGCGGCGGCGGCGGCGGCGGCCCGGCGCGGATCGCACCATGTCCTGGGTCCCGGCGGCCGGGCGCCTGCCTCGAGGGCGGCTCAGGGGCTCAGCCGCGGCGGTTCCGCTCCGGCCCCAGCGACCCCCGGCGCGGCCACCCTTCGCCTGTCAGAACCGCCATCTTGGCGCTGGCTCGACCAGGCGCGCGGCTACGGGGCGCCGCGAGGGCCAAGAGGGCGCGCGCATGCGCGGTGACACGCGAGTGATGCGCCCTTGGCGCTAAGGAGCGCGCCGCGCGCGCATGCGCGAGAGGGCGCGGGCGGCGGAGGGAGCGGAGCCACGTCGACCGGCCGGTTCTCGGAGCTGTCCCCCTGCTTTCGGGGTGGGCGTCACGCCCGTCCGCGTCCTCGCTGGGCCCACCCCCGACTCACCCCTCAACCCCGGACCTACACCCAATATCCCACTTTTCCGCCCGCTTCCCAGCGTGACCCCCACTTCCGCGGCCGCTGGGTTCGTGCCGAGACTGCCGTCCCCGGTGCCCCAGCCGTCCTGGAAAAATGTTTATTTGTGTAACGAAGAGCCGGCGGGGCCGGGGCGGGGGCTACTTCTTCTTCTTCTTGGCCGCCTTGAGCCGGCCCTCCAGCAGCCGCTGGGCCTGCCGCTTGATCTCGGCGCGCGAGGGCACGTAGCTGTGGTCCACGTCCGCGAACTGGAAGGTTTCTGGAAAGGAGGGCGAGGAGGAGGGCGCCCGCCTCCGCTCCGGCTCGGTCAGCGCGCGTGCCTCCCGGGACCACGTTCTGGCCACTTCTTCTAAATTCCTCTCTTCCTGGTGCGCTGGCATTAGGGGCCTTACGGGCTTGGGGACAGAGGCTGCTACTCGGAGGGCCCATTCTTACCGAGGCGGAAGGCTGGCCGCTTGCAAACCGACTGACTCAGAGCCCACTCCCCCGGCCCCCTTTTCTTTTTTTTAAGTCTTTATCTGACAGAGAGAGAGATCACAAGCAGGCGGACGGGCAGGCAGGGGCGGGGTGAAGCAGGCTCCCCGCCCCGCAGAGAGCCAGGACCTGAGACCAGTGACCTGAGCCGAAGGCAGAGGCTTAACCCACTGAGCCACCCAGGCGCCCCTCCCAACCCCCTTCCTCATCAAACTCTCACACCAAGCCAATATTCTCCCGCTAAATCAACACAGGGTCGGGCACCAGGCAACTGGGAACAGCCCCTGCGCCCCAAACCTGCCAGCATTACTCAGCCCATCGGAAGCTGTTTTCCCTGTCCTCCACCCGCTCTTTCCTGCGGAAACTCCAAGAAAGGCTCTGGCCTAGGCCGTTCCCTCACTCCTCTCTGGACTCCCCGAAGGCAGTGATGCTCCCACATGTCAGGAAATGTTACAAATTCTCCTTTCAATGGCATCAGCCTCTCTGCTTCCTCACTGTCACTTCCCTAAATTATAATCCTGTGGGTGCGGGGCATACACCCTTGTGGCACTGCACCCCCCCCCAGGGGCCCTGTGCCTCCAGGCTGTCCCAGTCAGACGGAGCCATCTGCCACTTGTTCCTCCCTTCCTCCCCATGGCTGGGTAGCCCCGAGGCTGTACCTATCATATCGTCCTCCAGGTCCTCAAAGCTGACCCTGGTGTTGTGCTTCTCCTTCAGAGTCGAGGTCTCTAGGGTATCCCTCACCTTTGTGTCAACCTGCAGGGCACAGGCGACTGTCAGCTCCAGGGGAACGGGGGCCGGTGGGCACGCCCAGCCTCCAGCTACCTCCTCGGTGATGGACAGCGTCTGCACTCTGTCGGCCAGGTACAGCAGCTTTGCTTCGCAGTAAGCCAGCTTGCCGAACATGTCGAGGCTGTCGGAGAGCGCCACTTCTTTCTGTGGGCCGGGAGGAGGGTCCCGTCTCTCCTCTGGCTTCTCCCAGGGCCTCTGCAGACAGCTCCAACCCCCCACCCCCACAGCTGGCACCTGGGCTGTGGGCAGGGCAATGCCAATCAGCCGGATGAAGAGGTTGTCGATGCCTGTCTGGATGGTCAGCAGCAGTTTCTGGCTCTTGGTCATGCTGGAGTAGGCCAGCTGGAGTCTGTCTTCCTCTTCTCTCAGCATGTCCTTCATTTTCTTCTCCACGGACTTGAAGCTGTTGAGGAGGATGGTGGCACAGATTTCGGGCCAAGGCGCCCCAAGCCGGGTGCTGTGCTAAATTCAGGGACTCCGGAATTCAGACGTGGGCGTGTGGCACCCCTTGGCTGGGGTCCCCCAGTCCACCTGCCAGGTCCCCGCTGGCTCGTCGACAGTGGACGCTCTTGGCTCCAAGCCGGGCCCAGCGCACACGGGCTGTTCTCGAGGGCCCCATCGGGGGCCCCGGAGCCTGGCGGGCTACCTGGCAGAGGCGGGCGTCTCGCGGAACTTCAGGATCGCCTGCTCCACTTCCAGCTTCTTCATCAGAGCCTCCAGCTTCGCCCGCCGCCCCTCACAGTCCTCCGTCTGCAGCTCCAGGTTCTCCTCGGTGTTCCTCTGAGCCAGGAACCGGCCAGCGATGTCCTGGTGGGGCCAACGTGGGGGCAAGTGGGTGTGGGCCCAGTGGGCCCGGTGGGCACAAGCCCCCCAAGACCGGGACTGGTTTCTTCTTGGCGCCTCCCCATGGTCGGGATGATAGTGACTGTGGCCGGGCACTGGGCCCAGTGCTCTCTGCGGGTCAGGGCATGGGACCCGCACCACAAGCCGAGAGGGCAGACGGCCAAGGCAGAGACAGGAGAGCACCCTTCAAAGACTGCTGCGCTCGGAGCCACTTGTCTGAGGATGGACAAGCTCACGTCAGGGCCGAGGACGGGAACTAAGGCTTACTGATGATAAACCCACATCAGGTTAAACGGAAGGGCCAGGCAGAGGCGGCCTCATGTCCTAGGGGTTTGGGAAGGGATGGAATTGTAGGTGGGGGTCTCGGCACTTGGATCCTCGAATCCCAGCAGGCTCCAAGCAGCCCTTGGCATGTGGCTCGGAGACGCTGGCACGCTCTCCACTCTCAGCCGTGGGGGCTGCGGCTCTGTGTCCCTTCGTTCAGGAGGCTCAGCGAGGCCTTGGGCTGGGGCAGGAGCTCCTCGCCTCCCACCCTCCCTCAGGAGAGCCAGGGAGAGGTACCCAGAGGTGGGAGCACCGCACCGCCGTCTTCACTTTCTCCACCAAAGCGGTCACATCTGTCTGGTACTTGATGTCCGCCTTGGAGGTCTCTCTTTTTCTCACTGGTCAGAGCAGAGAGGAAGGTGGCTAGCATTCAGGAAGAGCGTGGGAGCTCGGCTCGAGGCCATCAAACACGTCTGTGCATGCCAGAGAGCTGGGCAGGACTCATCAGACCTGCCTGCACTTTTGTCCTGCCCCCCCCACCCAGCTGGCCCTTCCAGGGTGCCCCAGGGCGACTCCATCCAGAAACAGCCTGGTATGGGGGCTTTGCGGTGCTTCTCAAAGGCAGCCCAAGGGTCCAGGGGGCCGGACTTGTCTCTTCTGGGGAATCACGGGGATGGAGCCCTGGGGTACCATGGGACAGCGGAGAAGCTGGGGTCCTGGCCACACCTGGCAGCGAGCCCAAGGCTGCGGGCCGTGGCTGTTGGCACTCAGCCCCTGCAGGTAGAGCCAGGAGAGGCGGGAGTGTCCCTCGCCCCGGCCGCTGCAGGTGCATCTGGCCTTAAAGAGACCTGACTGGGTGGCCTGAGCCCTTGCTGGCCTCTTGGGACCCTGGCTGGGGGCGGCAGAGAGCTGAGCGCTCACCTTTCACGGTCTCTGTACCCATCAGATTGGAGGGGAAGTCCAGGTCCCGCCGGCCCTGGTGGGAAGGGGAGGATGAGGTGAGCAGCGCCGTCTGCTGGGGAGCGGCCACCCAGTGTCTCTCATGCTGCAGTGGGGGTCCTGCGGGGACTCACCCGGCGGTACTTCTCGTTGGTCTCCTTCGTGTGGATCTTGTCAATCAACTTTTTCTGCTGATTGAGCCGGTTCTCCCGAGCCCTGCGTTCCTGGATGAAAGTCACCTCCCCTTGCCGCATGTTCATCTGGGGACAGGGGAGGTGCGGCGTGGTCATGTCTTGCCAAGACCCCCGTGGTGTAAGTCCAGCATTCAGTTTCAGTCCCATCTCTCAGATTTGGGAATAGCATTGGAGGCTCTCGGCTGCGCCCGTCTTCCTAAAATGCTCCTGCCTGATAGCTTTCAACAGCCTTCCTGCCTCCCACCCTCCTCTCTGGGCTCTCCCCACTCCCCGGCCTCTGAGGGATGCCGCCTTCCCCTTCCACTCCTCTGCTGGAGTCGCTGCCGTAGCCAGGGCTCGGGGCTCCCATTTCTCTTGGTGTCTGGGCTCCCCACTGCCTTGGCAGGCTCCACTGAGAACTCAATGGGGAGTGATTCCACGTGTCTAAAAAGGAACCTGACATCTTCCCCCAAACCCTGTCTCCTCTCACGTGTCCTGTTTTAGTGGCTAAACCCATCATCCACCCGCACCTGTCTGTGCATCCTGGATGGGGCTCTCCCACTGCCCAACAACATCTCACTCGGCACCAGACTCCTTTGGGTGACCATGAGAGACTTCTGAGCCCGGTTGACTTTAGGTACCCAGGGCTACAACTGGCCCATCCCAGGCGACCAGCATCTGGACTGTGGTTCCTTTCTGTCTCTGCAGCCGGACCACACCTGGTTTTGAAATGCAGATCTGATCCCATCACCCCTGTGTCTCCTCCCAGAGCTCCGGGTTGGGTGGGGGGCCAGGAACTAAACCCCAGCCACATCTGCCTCCCCGCACTCGCAGACTCCATTCCTCTGCATCTTCTCTGCTCCGGCCACTTGCTCCTCTTTTGGCCTGGTTATGCCCCAGGACTTTTGTTGTCCTTCATCCTCCAGGGCTTGGGAATCTCCAACCTCCAGAGCCCCACTCAAGGATCGCCTCCCTGAGCAGGTAAGTGCCCCAGGATGGCCCCACGTCACCCACTCCTCTCTCTGCAGCGCGGGCCAATGGTGTGGTGACATTTCTTCCTGGATGGCTGGATGGCTTGGTACGCTGTCCCCTCGTGAGGATGAAGCATGCCTGACTGGCAGGCAGACTGGGTGGCGGGATGGTCCCTGCCTGGGCCAGGCAAGCTCCCTCCTGTGTCTCCCTTCAGGCTCCCATGCCTGGTGGGACCCTCTGTGTCCAGGGCCATCATGTGTGAGCAGAGCAGGCTCGTGGGGTAGCCACTGATGGCAGGCTGTGTGGGTCTGGGGTGTTCCTGTGGACCCTGGGCTGGATGGGTCTGCGAGGGAGCCCTGTGGGACCCCCAGCCCTGGGGCTTGAGCTCACCTTGACCTCATCTGTAATCATCATGGCATCCTGGGACATGACTGTCATGTCTGACAGTTCTGAGCAGTAGTCGTCCACCAGATTCTGTAGCTTGTCCAGTTCCATGGGGTACCCGGTCAGCTCCTGCATCGAACGGGGCAAGAGCAGGGGCGCCCGGTGACGCCATTGGTTGAGTGTCCCACTCATGATTTTGGCTCAGGTCATATGTGAGATCAAGCCCCAAGTTGGACTCCGTGCCTGGTGCACAGCTTAAGATTCTCTCTCCCTCCTCTGCACTCTCCCGTGCACGCTCTTTCTCTAAGATAAATAAATCTTTAAAAAAAAAAGGGGGGGGGGGGACAAGAGCAGGGCCTGTGGCCAACCAGATGCTGCACTTTCAGAGTGGATGATGCCTGCCCCCAACTCCTTATCCTAGACTGCGTGAGCCCTGAGGATGACGATGGGGTGTCCCACTGTGGGAGGAGTGACGGCAACCCAGGGACCCTGCTGCTAGGGACTGGGGGCTGTCTGAAGTGAAGCGGGGAGGCTCAACACACAGATGTGTGGTCAGAGACTCGGAGCTCAAGGCCAAGGCTGCCCTGACCAGCCAGCTGTGGGAACTCGGGAAAGCCACTTAACCTCTCGGAGTGTCCCCATCTGTCGATAATGGCTCTTTTGGAAGGTAGCTGTCAGAATGTGTTGAGACGGTATAACGAGGTATTGAGCTCAGAACCAGGTTCATAAATACCCAATATATCTGACTTAGTATTTTGTTACTGGTTACTACAATGTAGAATCTTTGCTAGTTTTTTTTTTTTTTAAACATAGATGCCCATGGGAGTTATTTTTTTAAAATGCCTATGTTTTGGGGTGCCTGGGTGGCTCAGCTGGTTGGGTATCCGACTCTTGCTGTCACCTCAGGTGTTGATCTCCGGGTCGTGAGTTCAAGCCCTATGCTGGTATCCACGCTGGGCATGGAGCCTAATTAAGAAAACAATGTGTCTGTTCTGCAAAGAACATGCCCCTGGGGGGACATAATGTTCCCAAATGAAGGAGAGCTGGACCCAGGAGTGCAGTGGGGGGCAGGGGTGTGAGGAGGGGCCCAGGAAGGCAAGGTGGCAGGGCCTGCAGCTGGGTGTCTGGGAACAAGGCACCAAGGCAAGAGGGACAGGCAGGAGGACCACGGTGCCTGGCTCTGTGGGCCACCGGCGGGACCCAGAGGGTTGTGACTCCAGTCAGCAGAGCTGCAGTGCCCACACCACCCTCGGCCCCCACCACACTTCCTCCGGCCACCCACCTGGCTGCCCGTGCACCAGCCTCAGGATGAGGGAGTTGGGAGAAGTCCCTCACTGTCCCTGCCCCTCCTGCCACACCGCTCCTCGCAGCACCATGGCACCCCCCCGTCCAGCCCCCCTGTCTCCTCGCCCTCCCCCTCCCCATGGAGAGAGGCCCTGCCTCCCAGTGGGACTCATGGACCCTGGGGGCTTCCTCCAGGCCTCTTCTCCTGTGGGCTGGGGGGGGGGGCGGTAGACGGCTTGGAAGAAGTGAGCAGCAAGCTCGAGGTTACCGGCCTGCTCGGAGGTGGCTTGTCCTCTATAACGGAACTTTTTGAGGGCTCAGGACCCATTTTTGCCCTCAGAGGCCAGGCAAACGACAAAGAATGGGGCAAAACACAACGCTGAGCCATCAAATACACGCGAGAAAACCCACACAATTCTGATACATCCCATGATATGCCTTTTGAAGTAGCAAATAACAAGTTTCCAGACAGGTACACCGTGCCCCTGCTCAGCGCGGTCCCAAAGCAGGGGTCTGTCCTTGGGGCACACTGGCCTGAAGGGAGTTGCAGCCCTTCCCCTCCGCGGGTGGTGGGGGGCGGCAGGGGGCGTGGTCCTGCCCGGAGGCTCCTGTCCCCACTGAGATGCCAGCCCTGCACCTAGTCTGGGTCCTGAGACCCCTGGCGCCCGCGGCCAGATGGCTTCCCTGGGCTGGGGGCCGGGGTGAGGGGCTCACTTTCTTCAGGTAGTCCAGCAGGCCCACGTACAGCAGGTGGATGTTCTGACTTGTGGTGATCTTGACCATGGTCTTTTCAATGTTGTTCTCCAGCTGGCGGATCACCTGGGGTGGCCCGAGGGACACACCACCCGGTTGCCCACCTGGAGGCTGCGCTTTCTTCCAGGGAGGGCGGTGTCTCTCATCTAGCCCCGCCCCCGAGGCCCCGCCCCCGCCACCTGCAGCAGGTGCAGCTCCTCCTTGGTGGCTGCCGGCTGGCTCCTCAGGCTGGCCAGCTCCAGCTGCATGCTCTCCAGCTTCTGACCCCGCCGCCGCACCAGGTGGATCAGCACGTTGTGTACGTTCACGCGGTCGAACACGTACTTTCGCAGCTTCTCCCGCGCCACCTGGGTCAGGGAGGGCACGGCCCGCTCGTGGGTGCGCACAGGGAGCCGGCGCGCCCCGGGGCTGGAGGGGCGGGACCCCGGGATCGGGACGGGCTCCGCAGCGCCCTTTAGTGGTGGTAGTGGGAGGTGCGCACTGGCTGGGCGAGGCCGAGGGGTCCCCCCTGCCACCTTACCTCCATGGAGGAGCGGCCGTGCGCCAGCCTCATGGACACGTCCTTCCTGCAAGCCTTGGAAATGGTCTGCTGGTCATACTGCAGAGCGGCAGTGGCTGAGCTGGGGTCTGTGTGTACCCCCAGACCCCCACCCATCCTTCCAGGCATTCTCCCCTGGCCTCTTCTACCCTGTGCTAGCCCAACAGCAAGGCCCCATCCAGACCATTCCAGCTGAGATGTGATGGGAATCTGCAGAAGAGGGCCCAGGTCTCCCCTCCAAGGCCAGAGAGACAGAGGGGCCCGTGCTGTAGGGGGTAGCCCCCCAAAAGGACCCCAGTCAGGCCCACCCTGCCTGCCAGACTTTTGGGAGTGACTGGAGCTACGGGAAAAGGTCTTGGGAAGCCCCTCCCCAGGATCCCCCCTGGCTCCAGAAGGGCAGGGGAGGGAGGAGAAGAGAAGGTGCCTGCCCTCCACTTGAGTGTGGGACTGTTGCAGCAGTGCATGCCCCAGGCCCCCAGCCCCCCAGCCCCAGCCAGGGGTCTGCAGGGAGGGGACGGGACTGCTCACCTTTTTGGCCAAAGCCCAGTCTTGGGTCCCGCGACGGATGCTGCTGCGCAGGAGGGCCAGCGTGCTTTTGTTCTTGGCCGTCTTCTCCTTTACCGCTTGGATTTGCAGTGCCCGGCATTGCTCTGGGGTGGGGGGTGGGGGCGGAGAGGCAGAGGCCAGGGGGCCAGGATGTGGGCGGGTCTGGATACCCGAGCTGAGGGGGCTCCACACCAGGGCTGCCCGAGGCGGGGCAGGCAGGAGAACGCTGATCCCACGGCACAGTCCTTCCTCCCACTGCTCGGGGTCATTGGCTTCCTGGCTCAACGGTGTTTATGGGGATGGCTGTGTGGGGCACATCCTGGGATCCCTTCCAGACCCGCGGGCCAGGGAAACAGGTGGGTCCTTTCCTGTCTCCTCCAGCTTTGGGGCTCGCAGTGCTCACACATCTCTTTGAAGCCCCCCTGCGTGGCAGCCCCTTTGGTCCCTTCTCGTAGGTCTGTTTGGGGGTGGTGGCCACTAGCCCTTGTTTGCCCTGGACTGGCCTGTGTTAAATCTGAGAGCCTCTGAGCCCAGGGAGGGGCCAGGCAGGCCAGGCAGGGTGGTCCCCTGGGGGCGGCTCACCCTGGAGCCGAGTGATTGTCTTCAGCTCCTGGATCTGCTCGTCCGTCTCTGCCTCGCTGCGCGTCTTCATGGTGGCCCTCGGGGGCCTCTCAGGACCCTCTGCACCTCCCGCCCTCCCTGTGCTGGGCCTGCTCGGCAGAACTGCACGCAGTTCAGGTTGTCCCCGGAATCTCCGCCCATTGTGATGGGGGCCAAGGTTCTCGATGTCCAGTTCAGGGAACCCTGGCGATCCTGGCCTGCCCTGCCCCCACCCACTGCCCCGAGCGAGCCTAGGGGGTTGTCCCCTGGATGTGTGTCTTATGGCTGCTCTCGGCTCGGGGGTATTGGAGGAGGCGCCTTCCACAGGACGTGATCTGTGGTGGTTTGACACTGTACCCCACACCAGCCCCCTGTACCCTCCACACCTCCACGTTGTCCTCCACTGAGTCTCCTAAAACTTCCCACCTCTCCCTTATGGGATCTCTGTTCCCTCACCACACCCCAGGCTCAGACTCCACACCCTGGACGACCTGGCTCGTGAGATCCCACCTCTCCCTGCCTTTTGCCTGCTGCCTGGAGCCCGTCCTGCTATGCCTCTGCCTCCTTGGGGGAATTCCTGGGTCTAGCTCTAGGTGTCATTTACTCTGGGAGGGGTCACCCCAGCCCACGCTGCTCTTGGAGTTGTATGCCCTGAACCCCTGACAGCCTGGGATCCCAGGGGTGGTTTCCAGCCACGCTGCATGAATTTGCTGGAGCTGCCATAACAGAGTGCCACAGCCCGTGTGGCTGCCACCGTGGAAATTTATTGTCTCATATCCTGGAGGCTGAAAGTCTGAGATTGGAGTGCTGGCAGGGCTGGTTCTTCCTGTGCTAGGAGACGGCCATCTTCTCGCTGCACCCCCACAAGTTCGTCCCTCTGCTCGTGTCTGTGTCCTCCCCTTAGAAGGACACAGGCCAGACGGGATCAGGGCTCCCCCACCCCCGTTTTAACGCAATCATTTCTTTAAAGGCCTTGTCTCCAAATGCAGTCATATTCCAAGGTCCTGGGTGTTAGGGCTGTGATGTGTAAATTTCGGGACATGCAGTTCATAACCATGGCCCTCAGGCTAAGACCCCACACAGGGGTCACTTCCTGGTCATTGCCACTTTTTAAGAAAGTGAGTCCCATCCCATTTAAAACCACAGGCTCAACTTCTGCCATCCCTCTGAGGCCTCAGGGGTTTGGAAGGACCAGTCATAGGCATCCTCCTGCCCCCTGTTCTCCGTGGGCAGCAGGCAAAGCCTGCTTGCTGTCCCTCAGTATTGGTTCTCCCTTGTTCCTCAAACCCCTGAACTTTAGTGGGGTACGTGGCTGCCCAGAACGAGGCGGTCCTCCTAGGTGTGTACCCCATGACTTAATTTTGGCTGATGGAGGGTAAGCCCAAGTGGTGAGTGAACTGTCCTCTTCCCTAGTGACTGGGATGAAGGCACGATGGCTGGGGCTGGCACAGCTGTCCGAGACCATGAGGTGCACCCGGAAGAGAGGCCACAGCAGGGGGAACAGCAGGGACAGCAGGGGGCAGACTGGAGGGAGGCCTTGAGTACCTGTCAGCCCTGGATCACCCACCTGGACCATTACATGAAAGAAAACCCCGACCCTCGCTCGCTCACACCATGGTTATCTTGGACTTTGCCTTCCCACGCACCGATTCCCTGGTGCACGGTAGGCACTCAGCGTTCTTCTCAATGACCGGCTAGGCCGGGAGGTGCAGGAGTTGGGCTGGGGCTGGAGCAGCATGGCTCCAGGTCGTGGGCCTTCGGTGTGACCAGGAGGGCGGCTGTCCAGGACGATGGATTTGCCCAGCTTTTATGTCATCGCTGCCTCTCCCTCCGTCGGGTGTGTGGGGCGTGTAGTCGTGCCCACTCAGAGCTTTCCCTCCCTGTGGACGGAACTCCAGTAAGCTAGCTCTGGCCGCCCTCCACCCTTGGAGTGAAGTGACTTCATCTGGCAGGTGTGTTTGGAATGGTAGGCGGATAGGCACGGCCACTTCCTGTGCCTTGAGTCCCGGGGGCCAGGCGCTACCTGGCCGCACACCCCTGCTTTGCTCCTTCATGGCTGGACGTGTGCAAGCAGACCCTGCGTGGGAAGGCCTGCGGAACCGTTGGATTCTGGGGCTGTGCTGGGAACTGCCCTCCAGTGTCCGTGTATGGCACCGAGGGGACATCTGTCTCCTATTTTCTTACTGCTTTGACGTGCTTCCCGATGGTTGTATTTTTTTTATTTTTATTTTTTTTAAGATTTTATTTATTTATTTGACAGACAGAGATCACAAGTAAGCAGAGAGACAGGCAGGCAGAGAGAGAGAAGGGAAGCAGGCTCCCTGCTGAGCAGAGAACCGGATGTGGGGCTCAATCCCAGGACTCTGGGATCATGACCTGAGCTGAAGGCAGAGGCTTTACCCACTGAGCCACTCAGGCGCCCCTTCCCGATGGTTTTAGAACTCAGCTGGGAAAAGGCAAAGCATTTATTTGTGCAGCAAGCCCCCGCAGCAGCTGTCCCCTCGGACTGTGGGGGATGCCAGGGCCGGACAGGGAGTGTCAGAGCACCAGGGCCTGCAGAAGTCCCTTCCACCAAGTGCCCAGGGCCTCTCTGATGCTCTCCAGCTCTCAGCGTCCACCATGTTTCTCACTGCCCTCTGGGAGGCCAACCACTGCAGGGACAGCCCCTCTGGTGTGACCTGGGCAGTAGCAAAGGATTGCACAGGGTTGGCAGACCTCCCATGAATGTCCGCAGGGGACACCGCTGGGTCACCTTAGGGTGTGAGGAGGGCCTGTGTAAGGGGGCAGGGCAAGCCTGAGGTGACAAGGCCCTGAGGGCTATGTTCTAGAAATCTTCGGCCCCAAGTCTTCTGCGCCCCAGCTGGAGCTCTCCTAGCTGTGCCAATATGTAGGAGGCAAAGGGAGACAGCTGGAACCACAGCCTAAGCCGCTCACCAGATGGACACAGGCCTGACGTCAGCAGCTTGGGGTGCTGACCTCTTCTTGGGGTGTCCACACTCCTGATTCTGCACTCCCCTCCTGCCCAAGGGGCTCAGGAAGGTCTGGCTGTTGCATGCCACCCACTCCTGCCCCTCCAGGATGGACAGGCCAGAGGGGAGAGGCCCTGTCCAGCCTATACCTTGGGCCACGGGTTTGCCTGCCAAAACCTCTGGCCCCAGAGCCTCAGGTCCTGCTTTCAGCTACCCTCTGGCCTCTCACCTGCGCCCCTGTCTTCGGGGAGCTGCCCCGTCTCCAGGAAGAGCCAGAGGTTGCTGCATCTGTGCGACTCCACTCGGGTCACCCAGTAGCTGGCCACCGAGCCTGTGACTGGGGAGCAGGGGCCACAGGCCAGTTGGGCTGTGGGCCTGGGCCTCTGCACTTCTCAGGGAAAGGGGACCTGGGCCCAGGCTTCTTCTGGGCAGAGGGTCTGGTGGGCTTGGCAGGACTCGCACAGAGAACTGGGACCCCCTCCCAGGAGGTGGGGATGCGCGGGACCACGGCCTCCCCACCCCAGTGGGGACCCCCCCCCCCCGCCGGAAAGCCAGCATCACCTCTGGCAACTCGGGTGCGTGTCAAAGCGGGAGGACAGCCCCTGGGGTACCCACCCACGGCCACGGGCACGTGCCACTGGAAGGGGTACGGGAACTTCCTCCGGATGAACATCTGCAGGCCGAAGGCGGCGCCGGTGCCTGCCAGAGCCAAGGTCCCCATCGGCCACCCTGTCCACCGCCTGGGCGCCCACAGCAGCGGTCAGGCTCCCAGCCTCCGAGGACGGGGGACCGGACGGCACCTGCTGGGCACTCGGGTGAGACGGGAAGGTGAGGCCTGTCCGGACCCCAGGACGTCTGGACCCAGCCTACCTGCGACAAAGCTGAAAATGCCCTTCACGAAGGCCTTCGACTGGCACGCGGCGTACTCCCCCAGTCCCTGCGGTGGCGGAGGGGTGAGGGCTCAGTCCCCCGGCTTTCACAGGCCCTCCGTCCCGCCGTCGGGCACACTCGGGCCGCGAGGGGCGGGGCCGCGAGGGGCGGGGCCGCGAGGGGCGGGGCCGCGAGGGGCGGGACCACTCGTCGTGAGGCCCTGGGGGCTTGCCCACGCCTGCCTCCGTGTCCACCCAGGCTGCCCCGATCCCCGCAACGGGAGCGTCCTCCCCCCTTGTCTCTCTTCCCTGAGGGGGGTAGCCCCCCACCGAGACCCCACCCGCCCCGCTCCAGTCAGCTTCTGAGGTCCGGGGCCCGCGTGCCAGGCCGGCGTTCTCACCGGGTGCTTGGCGGCCACGGCGTCGTCCACCCGGGACAGGCCCAGGTTCACCATGGCTGGCAGGTCACCCGCAGCCGACGGGCGGAGCCTGCGCACTATGTGCGGGGGGGCGGGGCCTGTGAGGGACGTGCACGGGGGCGGGACCCGCGTGAGACAGGCGGAGGGGCGGGAGCGAATAGGGGCGGAGCCTATGCGGGCCGCGCGTTGGGGGAGGTGGAGCGAAGAGGGGGCGGAGCCTTGCAGGACGCGCGGGCGGGGGCGAACGGGGCGGAGCCTGCGCGGGACAGGAGAAGGGGCGTGGACGAGCTCGCAGGAGGGGTGGGGCTGGGGGGACCTGAGAGATGGTGGGGAAGGCAGAGGGTCTGGGTGATGGCAGAGAGTCTGGGGTGTGGACTCAGGTGGTCTTTGAAGTAGAGGGGGAATGAGACTGGGGCCTGGCCAGGTCTCCTGGGGGAGAGTGGCCATCAGTTTAGGTCGCCGGTCAGAACATTGAAGTCCTAGGTGGCGCGTAGGCTTGGGAATGGACATGGCTTGGGGGTCACGTGGCCTATGGGAGCGTCCAGCTCCCCTGTATGCCCCAGCCACAGGGGAGAGGCCAGCTATCTCTGGGCCTGAGGATGAGGCCCCCTGAGTGGGGGGCAGCCTCTGTCCAGCGGCCAAGGCTGAGCATTCTGGGTGGGCCAGACACCCCCGCCCCCCCACCTGTATTCCCCCTTCCCCCCCCACCCCTCACCCCCCCCACCTCCCCGCTCTGGCTCTGCACTAGATGGTAGCACTGACCTGAAAAACAAGTTATTTTACCAGCAACTAGGAGTTTATTGGGGAGCAGCAGAGACTTGCAATTTGGGACATGGGAGCCACAGCAAAACCACGGATGAGGCCAACCAATGACCGCGAAGAAGTACTTTATGGAGAAGGAGTGGGAGGGGTTGCTCTGAACCCAGGCCTGCTGGAGAGAAGCAAGCCCTCCGGGTGATGAGGACC